ATTTACACTTCCTCATATTTTCCAGACAAAAAGTTAATGGTGCATCACCCAAATGTCCCGGCCGCAACAACGCTTTTATTGGTTCCGCTATCGGGACGGAACCAATAATGGCGAGCCATTTTTTTTTTAAAGAAAAAAAAAGGTCAATTTTAATGTTTTATTTAGATTACAAAAATAAATCATAATAAAAATAATCCTATTTATGATGTTTTAAAAATTAAGACCTACGAAATACTGATTTAAGACATTTTAATACCAATTAAGGCCTTAGTTTTATTTTGATGATTTCAATGCCTTTTAAGACTTTTTAAGGACCCGCAGGAACCCTGTAAGAACTAGGCTGAAAATTTGGTTTTAGGTTGAATAGGGAGGCACAGACCAGTCTATTAGCGAGATCAAATATTAACCAGAATTAGCAGATCAGCTCATAAAGAAATGCATGTCTACTTCATGTCGATGGTGATACTTTTAGGATTAGAGATGATGCACAATTCAACTTTGAATCAAATTTAGTTCCTAAAAAATCACTGAAGTATTTATTATAATAATTCTATCAGATTTGGAGATTTATGCTAATGCAAAAAGTAAGACTGTAACTGTACAATAAATAACAGCTGTTAAAAACGTGCTTGTGGTAGTTAAGCGCGGACATACCTTCTGCTCTGCTACATCCATAATGAGCTCCCCATACATGTTAATAATCTGAAATCGAGAAAGAACAGGATACCATCTTTTTATCCGTAATGTACAGAAAATATTTTTAAAGGATATAAAACAAGAAAGTAATTCATTTTAGTGAGTAGGTTGGATTGATAGTCATAAGCCTCTACAGAATCTCTTTACCTGATCATTAAGCCAGTTCTGATCCTCCAGGGTGCCGAGGTCCTCCAGTCTCAGATTGTGTTTATTATACGTGACCATGAAGCCTGCAACAGGAACAGATGCCAGACCGGCTCTGTATCGAGTCATCTCTCTCCTGATGTCCACTTCACTGAAACGGAAAGATAGGAAGGCAATGTGGGGATCAGTTCAGCTTGGATTTAGTTTGGTATTTTTACCTGACATTCAAATGTTAGTTTGTGAAAAGGAATTATTTGTAAGAAATTGGAAATTAAAAATATATGTTTGGGTTCAAACACAGACACTATTACATTGCAACAGCAGCAACTAAAGAAGAGGATTTTACATGTTCTACAACACAAATCAATAATACTAACCAAAATAAAGACATAATTATTTTGTTTAAAAAGGGACCCTTGAAAAATTATTTCATTTTTTCCCCGTAAAATACAGATTTCACTGTATTTTAATTATAAAGTTATATTTACTCTGTCTATCTGTGTCTCCATCTACTGAGAAAAGAGGTCCTGTTTTCTTGTTTGTAATTTTCTGACATCTAAATGTTTCAGTGTCTTCAGAAAGGTGCTTATTATAAAAGTAAATAAAAATAAAATCTAAACTACTTCGTCCTGTTTGAAAGAAAACAATCTGCTCTGAAAATGAACAGTGGCCTAGTTAAAGTCCTGACCTAAATCTGATTGAGTTGCTATAACCTGATCTTAAAAAGATACGTTAAACTCTAAAGCCTCTGCAACCGTCAAATCTGTCTCAAAAAAATCCCGACTACGTGTCGGACGGTCGCAAACCCGCGCAGACCTCAAGCGGAAGTGCACAGACAAAAAGCAGCTGTGATAGGTCCTTCGTATGCCTTTCCGGTTATCTGTGTGGTAGTTCTTCTCGATTCGGTGCCTGGGCACGCCGTTTTTAAAAACGGAGGTACAACTAAAATGGACAGCTACAATGAAATGGTAATCTGTCTTTTTGCCAACTCCATTAACAGAACCTGTTTCCCTTCGATGTCTAGCAACTCTAGATTCATCTCCATGAGCGTGATATCTTGCAGAAGCACCATTGTTGTTTTGGATGATAAACACTCCCGCCGGTACCGTCAAAGTTCTCGTGACCATCTGACGAAGTTCTCGAATAAGCACCCCCTTGTGCTTTGGCGGGAAACTGTTGTGCGTCCCTAGAATTTCCAGACCGATGGTGCAGAAGCATACCAGCAAAACTGGTTTGCGACCAGACCCAAGCGACATTTGATGTGTGCGGTTGCAGAAGTCTAATCTGCCCTGAAGGGCGGCCCAGTTATTAGATTTAAGGGGAAACCTGCAGGTTTGGATTCAATTCTTAAACAATATAAAACGGACTTCTGTCAGAGCACCATGTTTAAATAAGTAATGGAGTTGCAAACAATATAGGTCTTAATAAACTTTATGAGGTGGCAGGCTGGATTAAAATTTTTTTCTCTTAACAAACATTTGGTATTCAACGTTTTCAGGCATTCATGGGTTACATTTATGTGGAAACCCCCACCCTGATACAGGGGAACAGAACATCTTTCCTGTTCAGCCAGGCCAACAGTTCCCTCTAACTCTGCTTTCAGAGACATAGACAGGTATTGCAGGCTAACAAAGAAGCCAAACGACCCACCGTCTGGGTCAATTTGCATGTTTTCTAAGCCAAAACAAGGCTTTGTTTTTGGTCCACTCTATAAAACCTCGAACCCAATGCTATTTGAGACATTTTGGATTCAAAAAGCTTCCTGGATGGGAAGCGAAATCTCTTCAGACTTGGAAATAAGTCCAGTGGATTGTTTTTTGGAAGCTGGAAAGTCTGCAACCACATGTGTTAAAAAGATTTTAACTCAAACAGCACTTGGTCTTTTTTGTAAGCTGCTTTTAGTTTAGTAATGCATGTTTTTCTGATCAAAAACAGTACAAGCAGTCATTATTCAAACTCAGACCAAATGTCCTGCATGTTTAAGGCGTTTCCCTGCCTCCACACACCTGCCTTTAATAAATGGTTGATTAGCAACCACATGTACCCCATGGTATCTGCTTAGGACAATCATTTAATGCAGGTTTGCTGGTGCAGAGAAACATCTAAAGCATGCAGGGCAGTGAACAAGAAAAATATCATGATAAATTCTACACATCAATATGGAAAGAATTAGCATGTGTGTTGCATGCATGTCTGTGTGTTTTCACTAACCTGTTGCTGACATCAGAGTTGCCGTTCTCTTTCAGGTGTTCTACGACATCAGATTCAGAAAGAGGAATAAAGCTCCCATATTTTATATAGAAGCTCTCCAGAAACTCTAAAAGAAAAAATCAAAGATGCAATTAACTTATTTATAATCCCAAATGGCAAAAGTGCAGCTTTAAAGAAGTTGGTATGTAGAACAGCAGTTATGAAAGTAGTAACTTAAGGTTCTTGACAGAAAAAGTAAAAGGAAATTAGAGAGACATGAAAAACACATAATTTAAGTTTCTCATAACATCAAAAAACTAATTACCAATAAAAGTAAAATGCAGTTAAGATTTAGAGGAGGTGTTGAATGCTTTTCTCTTATGATAAATGCACTTTTCTATGTACAAACAATAGTAATTATTTCAAAGGTTTGGCTGCACTCTAGTTTTTTTGCGCGCACTCCAGTTAATATCACAACTGTCTGTCAGAAATGAACGGGAAAGTGGAAAACTAGACTTTATTCATTAGGACTACATATTCAGATCATAAACACTTTAGGAATGTCATGTAGGGTTGTCAAAATTCTAAACAACATATCTGGTAATATTACTAATTAGTTGATAAATTGATATCAAAGACAATTGTAATTTGCTTTGTTCATTTTACATATCTGGTTTATTTAAAAGGATAATACCACAGACATGCTCAACTTATAGTCAATGTATTTTATTCACTTTCTGTTAATTATATTTCATTATAACAGGTGTTAAAACAGAACCTAATAGAAACATTGAAACTTCTTCTATGCACCCAAATTAACTGCTTTGTAACAAACACTGTTCACTATTCCTCATTGGTTCTGCTTTTACTTCCAGAGCTGCAAACCGGCAGAAAGCAGACTGTGTTTCTGCATTTCCAGGCTAACAACTAATTAGTAAGAGTGAAATAAGTAAATAAATGAAAGCAGCTCCACTGGTGAACCAACCACAGGGAATTCTTATTTTTTTGCACACAAGGAAGAAGAGATAGAATTCAGTGATAGAATATTATCTCTCTTCACACTAAGGATGCCAATCAAAAGAAAAACTGTGTCTCAGCTAAACGTGGATATGGAAAACAGTTGTTATGCATTAATAGCATCTCAGAGTGAAGCAGTTTCAATGCCTGGGTTCACTCAGAGATCATCTATCTAAATAAATATGTTAGATGGAGTGAATTCCTACTGACCACTTTAAGGACATTACACCAGGAACACATTCACCAATCGGTGCTCATAAACAGACACATTCATACACTGATAAACAGAATAGTAAAACAATTGTGATGAAGTGTCTCGACCAGAGACCCATCTACATAAAACAGGGTATCGCTAAAATCAAACCTGGTTGCAGGATGACTTATAAACCCAAACAGACTCATTTTTCTTCATTTGAAACAATGAAAAGGGGATTAGAAAGCTAGCCTTGTTCACAGATTGCATGAACTTTCCAAAAAAAGTAAAAAAAAAACAACAATCCCCTGGACTCTGTTTCCAAGTTTGAAGACGTTTCCAAAGAAGACAGGTGGTTGAAAGGGGAGTAAAGGAAGCCATTTATGTTAAGAAAGAAAAATCAACCTTAAAGGAGAAGTTCGGTTTTTTACACTTTAAGCCCATTTTCTGTAGTGTCCAGGATGAAATCGAATGATCGACACCAAAAGTTTGACAA